AGGAAGAGAAAATGACTTGTCCTCAGACAGCATAGGCTTTAAAAACAAGTCTGCTATGGGACTCTTAAGTATATGTACCAAATTCACAATTTTCTAAATCCTCTTGTGATATAAATTTTGTGAGCTGTCTCTCCACTTAATAAGGAAATATTCTCTGGACGCTATTCTACCTATTTGAAAGTATGTTACTGTAAAATCCAATTCACAAAGCAAATGATTTATTGGCAGAACAGTTCAAACCTCTACAGGTAAACTCCCTGAGGGGTCACAAAGGGGTAATCTGGTTGTGTCTGGTCACTGTTTTATGACACATGTCTGGGTGTAGGTAACGTGTCTAGTTCAAAGAAATTTGAAGGGGAATACCATGCAGGATGGAGCTTATATTAAAGCCTATTCTCACTCATTCGCTTGACCTTTGTTCTCCCAATTTCTTTAATAGGCTGCTCTCTGATGTGCTGGTTGTCTTCACTCAAGATTCCTCCCCACTCTGCTCTATAATTCTTACCTTCCTCTTCTAGAATCTGAGTCAAATCCTCCACCAGAGTCACTGCTTCCTCACTGCTCTCTGGGTACTGAGACTTCACCCAAGTCCTAACTTCTCCAGGTAGGATGGTCAGGAATTGCTCCAGCACCAGGAGCTCCAGGATTTGTTCCTTTGAGTGAATCTCAGGTCTCAGCCACTTAATGCAGAGGTCTCGGAGTTGATTCAATGCTTTTCGAGGACCTTCCAGGTCTGGGTATGAAAAATTCCTAAAATTCTGTCGACAGGTCTCAGTGTCACGCAAGAGTCTTGAAGCAAGGGTTTCTTTTTCAACATTGTGGGGTCCACTCTGAGTCTTGTCTGGCTTCCACATTCGGAAGATTTGGGAGTGTGAAGAACTGGTCATCCTTTTGCTTGGGGCTGACATTGTTACGGACAGGTGCTTCAATCTGGCAATGAATATCTTTTATTTCTCTAGTAGTGAGACAACTGCTTGAAGTCTCATGTTAGAGCCACAAAGACATTGAATCTAGGGCAGGGGCAGAAAAGAGTCAAGGTAGAGTTAGCAGCCTTAGTTACAAATTCTGAGACCCTGAAACACAGGAGCAGATCATGAGGTCAAGAATTCCTAGTGTTCTCTGTTATACACAAACAAAAATAAACTACCTGATGTGCACATATAAACACATCAACTTTACATTGGTCTCCCTCCTTTATATCGTTAGACCTGCTGGTGGGAATAGGGGGTTGGGACTGCCAAAAAAGGTGATAGAAGCAAAGACTTGAATAATAACTAAAACAGATCAAACTTCTAATTTGTTAAAACAGAAATTAAACTTTTACTGAAAAAAAGCTTCAGTATTTTAGTCACTGATGTTATACAAGCTGTAATGACTGGTTTTCAACAGCAACAGAGAGAATCTATTACTTAGAACTGGGAGAATAAAGTGTTCAAGGTTCCCAAAGGAATACTCAGGAGAAGAGGGCGAGCCATTTACTTGCTTTGCATATTAACTCCAGCCTATTCTACCTTTCCTATCTGAGGGCTGGGGAGACAAGCCGGTTGGACCGGAAAGAAGTAGAAGAGGCTGCGTGATTCGAAGCCCTTTAAGTGCTTCCTAAAGGAGACAATTCCTTATGAAGAAATTTGAAACCAGAATCCCTGAAGAAAACCTCAATCAGGCCTGACCTGGAGAAGAACCCGTGACACCTGTCCACCGGCTCCAGCTCTGAGCCCTCCTCAACCAATCTTTTCTCCAAAGCCAACTGTTTACAAGGCCCTGCATAGCAGAAGCACCGGCCTCGCCTCCCCTCCTGTCGCATCCCCTTCTCAGCGGGTCTAACTCCTCTTCGGCTGGAGAGTCGCGGGCAGCGCGGTAGTCGGGACCCGGCGACGTGCTGTGCTGGGATTGGGCCCTCCACAGTAGCATTCATCCTGTGTTTCCCTCAGGCCTCGAGCAAGGCACCCCCGCATGGAGCCTCTGAGGGCCCGGCCCTGACCGCACCGACTCTTGCCTTCAGGGCCCGCGACATCATTACCTGTCGTTGGGATCCGGCGGACATGCAGCCAGAGAGGCCGGGAGGCCCCGTACAACAATGGCGGCGGGAGTTCGGGCGCCTGCGTGGCGGGCTCAGTCCTCGGCTGCAGTGGGGCCTCTGGCTCCGCCACTTCCCTTCCCCGGAAAGTCCAACGTGTCTCGGCCAGGAGCTGCGCGTTCCAAACTGGTCCTGAGAAACCCGGCCCGGAACCCACCGCGCCTTGGCTTCGCCGCGACCTCGCCTGGGCGTCACTGCGCATGTGCATGAGGCGAACGCTACGCGCCCGCTGAACCAATCGGAAGCTGCGCCCCGCCCCTCCTCTGTCGGAGCCTTGTTCCTAGGACCTGTCTCCATGGTAACCTCCTCCGCCCATTACTATGACTTGTTAGCCTGCAAGGTGCTGAAGATAACTTTAAAGTTTCCCTGGGCAGAGACAAGGCTGGTAGATGACTTGGAAGTTGGGGAGCTACCAACATTTGGGAGAGGAGGATGCCAATGGGAAGTGTTGGAGCCCAGGGGTAATTACCCAGAATGAACCTGGTGCTAGTGTTCCTATAGGAAGGTTGGGCAGAGAAAATGTGGGTCTAAAGGTAGAAAGACCCAAATTGCTGATTCAAGATCTACTGTAAATAAACATTGTTAAAGGTTCTGGGTCCCTCTTTAGGAATCTGATTCCGAGACTCTCAGATTGGAAGAAAGAACAACATCCAAAAGCATGTCATTTATAAGAGACTCAAAACACATACATAAAATGCTTGAAAATAAAAAGAAAAACATTCCAGGTGTTCCTGTTATCTATGGCTGTTTTGGCAAACCACCCCCAAACAATGGTTTTAAAGAACCATTTTATTATGCTAATGGTTCTATGGTTCAGGAATTTGGAAGGGGAGCAGTGAACTGCTACATTGTGTCTGGATGCTCAATAAAGATGATTTGTTGGAGGGAGGGTCCACTTCCAAGATGGCTTCTTCACTCACATGGCTTATGCATGGGCTGAGATGGCTTAAGGTTGAGTTGAGATGGCTTAAGGTTGAGCTCAGCTTGGATTTGACCATAATGCCTATATGTGGCCTTTTCAGCATGAAGGACTAGGGTGGTTGGACTTGTTACATGGTGGCACCAGGCTTCAAGAGCGGGGTTCTACTGAACAAGTGAGAAGCTCTATGGCTGATTATGACATAGACTTGGAAGTCTCATAGCATCACTTCCATCATACTCTTGGTCAAAGTAGTCACAAGCCTGTCAGAATCAAGCAGAGGCAGATACAGACCCTATCTCTTAATGAGAGGAGCATCAGAGTCTTACTATTACCACACCAGACAAACTTGAACATAAAGTTGGGTAGTGTCATGGTCTTTTATGTGTCAACTTGGCTAGGGTACAGTCTCTCTCCCAGTATTTAATCAAACAATAATCCAGACATTGTAAAGGTATTTCGTAGATATGGTTAAAGTCTATAAACTCAGTTGAATTAAGTAAAAGAGATTACCCTACATAACTTGGGTGGGCCCGATTCAATCAGTTGCAAGGCCTTAAAAGCAGAATTGAGGCTTCCTTGATGAAGAAGAACCCGAGAAACTCTGGACAAAGCTTTTAGCCTGCCCTTCCTGCCAGACTGCCCTATAGGTTTTGAACTAGCCTAATTGGCCCCCACAATTGAGTAAGCCAATTCTTTGCAAAAAAAATCTCTCAGTATTCATACTGGTTCTGCTTCTCTGACTGAACACTGATGGATGCATGTAGTAATCCACATATCTTATAAAATGGAATTTTAAAAGATCACATGGGGAAAATAAGCATGATATCTACTTATAAAAGGAAAACTTGACAGAAAAGATATATCCATCATAAATATATGTTCCTAACATTAAGACCTCAAAAGATACCAAGCAATAACTGATAGAACTGAAGAGAGCAAAACATAAATCAACAAATGAGGCTGGAAATTTTAATATATCCTATAGAGCACACTGTGATGGGCTGCCAGGATGCCCTTTCAGGGTTGGGGCACCCATTCCCTCCACTGCCAGTGTGTTTGCCTGCTGGCGGCTCACAAATAAATACCTCCCTGGGAATTGTCCTGGAAGAAAGGAGCAGCCTTTCATAGGTTATGTCTTCTCCCCAGAGGCCATCCACATCCAGTAGTGCTGACTGCGGGGGTTCAGAGACCTTGTCCCCTCCTCTCAACTTGCAACATCTCTAAAGGGCCATCCTAGCTTGAGTTCCCTGTAGAATCAAATGAAGCCTCTGTTGCAATTGTAAAACATTTCAGTCTTTTTCCTTTGCCTAATCTTCCTTGTATATGTCATAGCTTTACAGGTATTTTTTTTTTTAGAGAACACTATTCAATGACACTCTTGCATGCCATTCTCCACCTCAGAATCTGTTTCCAGGGTATCTGCCCTGTAACAGTTGGTACCAGCAGTGGTCCTAGGAAAGCAGACTCTAAAATGAGGTTTTGGCTCTGGATCACCTGTCAGCTTGCTGGCAATGAGGACCCTATCACTTGTGATTAGTGGAGTACAGATAGTACATGTCAGACTGTGGCAGTATAACTGTTAAAACTGTCACTGGTGTCAAATTGGAATGGGATACTGATGGAAGGGAAGGCACTGGTGGATGCTGTATCTCAGGTCTGTATGCGACTGGAGGAAGTAGCAATTTTTAAAGATAATAAAATTGAATGAATATTACTAGGAGCTATTGACAAAGAAAAGCTAAGGGTGGTTAATCATCAATTTAAGAAAAAGTATAAAAAATCGGAGGGCATCTTAAAGACTGATGACAAAATGTAAGAGCAGCATAACTTCAGGTAAGGTTGAATTCTCAACCCTAGAAAGTTTGCTATGCCAAGGTTAAGAGCTGTTTGGAAAGAAGTAGAACCCTGAGACTCGGAATGGGGACATTTGGATTGATGTAGACAAACGCCTCGAAAGACCAATCCCTCTGAATTCTCTAGGCCTGCAAAAGTGGCCCATTCCTCCCAGCCTTGCTTGAAGATGATGCAAACAGAGGTCTCTACTTTGCAATAAAACCCATGACTCTTTCACGATCTAATCTTTCTTCCTCCCCTCCTGATCGCTAAACCAATAACCAGGATCAAGTTACCACAGAACCCAACAGGGAAAATGCTGAGCCTGATGAGATAGGAAAAGAAATATGAAGTTGCTGCAGACCCTAGCTAATTTGTATCTTCAGGAACCAGAAGAGTATATGGGTTTGGATCCTGAGGATGCTGGATCAAGTAGGGCAGAACATATAGTTGAGTACTGGAGAGTTTTTAGAAAAAGAATGCATTCCTATGATAAGGATTTAAATGCTCTGGCAAAAATGCCAGGAGATGGTGCTAACACACTGCTAGGAGTTTTGGAGGCTTGGAGAAATAGATGGCTCCACACTGAGAAGAAATACTAGAATTGCTTAGCATACGGTGAAAGAAGGGGTTATAGGGCTCAGAGAAGTGAGCATTTCAGGATAGGCAGAGAATGCAAGGCTGGAAAACAATAGCGATGTTTCATTGGAAGGCTTGGAAGACCTTCTGTCAAGGTATAGGATGTGCTGGTGGGAAGGGGCACCAGAGTCATTGAGTAGCTCAGTAGTGGCTGACAGTAGGGGATTTATTCTGGAACTGGGTTCCCTGAGCATGGCACTTAACCTTCAGAAACAAGGCAAGTTCAATGACCATAATGAGCAGTTAAATCAAAGTGGAAGTGGGGGTGGAAAAGTGGAAGGAATACTTTATTTTTAGAGAGCTATGGAAACAATCAATAGAACCAGGTATCTCTACAGACACAACATATAGGCAGACAACATGGGTGGGCTCAATCTGTAGAACTGAATGAAATAAAGGATGGATGATCAAGAGATTGAGATTAATAAGATGTCACAATCTTTTGCCCCATTTACAGACCCTATTCAGTTTTCGGACCCAGAACCCATTGACTAAAGAAGAAACCAAATTGCCAGAAGGAAGGCTCCTGCAACACCACATCAGAATATTATGATATAATATTATGTGTGGTAATAATTTTCCAGCCTTTTCCCACACCCCCCAAAGAAATTTCTGGCTACACTGGGAAAGGGTGGTACCCACAGGTTTCAAGGCTATACTTAAGGATCTGAAGCATCATGATGACCTCTATGTTAGAATGGAAGCCAGGTGATTAATGGAGTTCTGTCTCATGGCAGGTCAACAAAATTTACTGTCCCATCCAGTGGTTGTTTTCCAAGACCTTGAATATACAATTGGAATAAATGTAGCTGGCAAGTCAAATTGGTTCCTCAGCCTGTAAGGTAAGAGCTATCCAAATGAGGAAGGCCAAATGGAATGCTCTAAAACTGCCTCCTACCCTCCCTCTGGATAAGGTGTAAATTAAAAAGAGCATCACATTCCAGAAGGAAAGACAGAAATTCATACCTCTCTTAATGACCAAAAGAGTGCAAGGTGGTGGTCTTCAATATATCCCCATTTATTCAAAAGTCAAGCCTCTCCAAAAAACAGATGAATTTTGGAGGATGACAGAGGATTGCTATAAAAATCAAAGAAGTCACTCCAATTGCTTTGCTAGAACAGATTAAGACAGGATTAAATACATGGTATTCAGCCATTTATCTGGCAAATGTGTTCACCTCCCAGATGAGCAAGAAGTGTTAGGCATGTTGGAGGCCTTGGTAAAACTTGATAAGAACTACAGGTGATGGAGGTAAGTCCTATAGAATTTCAGGGGGCTGCCACAGTAGTAAAATTTTTAGGGGTCCAGTGGTATGGGGCATGTCTGGAATTCCCTCCAATGTAAAGGATGAGTTATAAGTTATAGTACCTTATATTCCTACCTCTTTAGAAAGAAGCACAATATCTGATAGGGCTTTTTGGGTTCTGAACTTGGAGTATTTCAACTTGACCAGCTGTTCCAACTCATTTACTACATGACATGGAGGCTATCAGCTCTGAGTGGAGCAGGAAAAGGCTTGCCAGCAGGTCCAGGTTGAAGTATAAAAGTCCTGACCATTTGGCCATATGACCCAGTATCTGGGCAGGAAAAGAGACCATGTGGCATTGATGACAAGCCCTACTATGAAAATCACAACATAGACCCTTAGAGGGGTAGAATAAGGCCTTATCATCTTCAGCAGAGAATTA